CATTTACTTCTGTGACAGTGAGATAGTGTGATATCTTATTGGGTTAGTGTAGCTCATTCCTTACTTAACCATTTTAGATCAGGAGAACTTGGTTCCCGAGCCCGTTCCGTAGGAAGACGGCGAATAGAAGCGTAAAGATTTATTAGTTTTCTTTATAGTATTCATTCATAGTATTTTCTTTAATTAGTTTATTTTTTCATATCTTTAATACGTTTTGATTATTGTGTAAGGGATATTAATCATAATCTATTTTATTTCACTTCCGCACTTAGAATAAATATATACATTTGTTTTTAATTTATGTGGTCGTTATACTGATACCATGTTAGGAACGGAGGAGAAGACAAAGAATGATGGAGCAAAATTACTCTAATTTTTTTGATTGTATTCATGGACAACAAAAGAATATATACAGCTTGTACAATGGCAAAGAGAAGAAAACAAAAACAGTTACAACAACTAATTAATCAAAAAGATTATAATTAACAAACTAATTTCATCTAATCAATAATTAATCTTAATACTAAATTAGATTCTATCTATAAATCCTAATTTGTTTTTAACCCTCAACGTGCGTTTCATGAATGTAACCTATGTATAATAGATATTCATCTCGAGCAAGTGAGGGACTAATAATGCACTTAAGCTTTCATTTATTTTGATATAAAACATACTGTTAAGGTTTAAGAGATTTAAAATCATCTCGCTTAAGTTTGTAGGATTTGGATTTTTGGTGATTTAATTCAAGTTTTTATTTTCTGTTCTAACTAACACATTGATACCATGTAACAAATTAACATTTTTATTGTACAATTTTACTATTGAGAAGAAAAGTCAGAAAATACCTCAACTCATTCAAAGAGACACAAAACCCAACTACCACAAGAGGGAAAACCTTATTAGAGGAGGTCTTGTAATCAATCGCACGAATGAGGATTTTGGAAAATGTGAGATACCTCGGACACAACATATGCGCATACAACATGCTTGTCTTTGGGCGAGTTTAATGAAACGCCACGTTCTGGTTTCTTTTTTTTTTTTTGTGGGTTTGGGTGCAGAACCAGTTCCTTCGAGCCCAATATCCATTAATAGAATGAAGTGTCAAAATCAATTCATTTTTAATAAATAAGTACAAAAATAAGCCGACTGTTCCCCCTTCTCGTGACGCATCTGGAAAGGATTATATTTCAGTTTCAATACTCGCCCTTTCTGTATTACTACATATCTCCACTAATCAAGACCTCTATATTCAAATACGTATAAATCAGTTGAATCAGCTAGGGTTTACTATAATTTGCTGTCTCTCCATTTCATAATCAAAATTTGTGAACCGAAAAATCAAGAAAAAGGTAAATGTCTGCCAGATTGTTGAAGAAAGTTTTGAAAGAACAGGAGCAGTTAGAACAAGAAGAAAAACGTCGTCAAGAAGAGGAGCAGCTCGATGATGATGAATCCGACTCTTTCGATTCCGGTGGTCGTTCTTCTAAGAATCCCTTTGACCTTCTCAACGACGACGACGACGATGATGACCCCGAGCCTAACCAGGTCGGTCTCCTAATTCTAGCCATGATTTGATTCTTTGCATTTCTTTTTTGTTCATGTGACGATAATTTTTACTGTTGACACGGATATCGAAAGTTAATTCCCTGAAAATCTCTCTTTTTTCTTGAACATCCACTCGCTTCATTTCCAATTAAAGCTATTTGTCCAAGTAAAATTTTTATTACGACTATTGGAACACCCCTTGCTATGACTTCGAGATTGTTATCCTCATCCACTGTTGTTGTGGGTCTGCTTTTAATCTTTGGTTGTAGGTTATGGTGGTCGAAATTTTGCAGAAATGAATTCCGAGTTAAATGAAGTATTTTTGTAATTTCTTCGTTCGGTGGGAATTTAAAATTTGTAGTTGCAGAACTTACATATAAGAGTAAAGTAGATATAATTATGTGTAAATTATGATCATCTTGTAAATATCAAGTAACTAAAATTTAGAAGTTTAATAAGAATAGAATTCGTCTGAATCAACAGCACCGGTATTGTAATAGTAGTGCGCATGAGACTCGTGCTGTTATTAGATTTTGAATCTTTTACATTCCATCAGTAATGGGTTTTTCTTTCCTTTTCTGCTTCGTGAAAGAGGAATGAGATAACTGAAATGTAAAGGAACTTAATTCACAGCTGCTATAGAATCTAGAGTTTGTAAGACTCTAGATTTTACTCAAATAGATAAGATTGTAAGATTTAAAAAATTACCCGTCATAATCTCTCTTATGTGCTTCTAGTCTAAGATATATTATGGAGTGTCATTTAGACGTGTAAGGAATT